ACCATGTCCTCAACATGATGCATAGCACTATTTCTATCCTCATTTTCATCCATATCTAACTTTTTGGATATTGGGAATGTTATGTGTTTGAAATTTTTGAGGATCTGGCTGTCATTGGAAAGCATCTTGTGCCCATCAATCACAAGCTGCTTCTTACATTTAGTCCAATGAGTCTTGCAACCAGTCTGCAAGTTGTGACCAACCAAGCACCACCAAGAAAGTTGCATCACATAGAGGCATGCTATGTCACATAGCAGGCCAAGATGCAATGCAATAGGTCTATTTTCCAAGGTAGGGACCTTAAAAAATGGTCCATAGCATCACATGAAGACATGCTTTGTTACATAGCAAGCTTCCATGCGATGAAAATATTTTGGTAGTGCACAATTCCAAAAAAAAAAAAAAAATGACCATTTTGGAGTTGGTGCTGACACCACTAGTTGACTGATTGTGCCAGGAATCTGGCCAGTGTAAATTTGGGTGTCCTCCATCTTGTGAGCTCGAGTAGGGTTGAATAAAAAGTCCAAGATTTTTAAAAGGGGACCGCAGCAAGAAATATCTGCCACGGCCAAACTGGCTGAGAGGCAAGGGAGGGCCCGAAAGAGGATGGATGAATCCACTCGGTGTCGGAATCACCCCAGGGATCCTCATTAGTTTGACTAACACTTGCTTGGGGTTGCAGCCCTATTGTAAGAATGGTGAAGGGTGGCGCAGGAATACTGGTCTGACGGACTTTTCCGGAAGGTTTTTGCTGCGGTTTTTCGATGTCGATTGGGACTCGAAAAACCACAACTTGTCAAATCGACTGTATTGTATCATCAAACATGCCAGATTAATTGCTCATGATGTACTTGAAAGAGAAATACACCGTAACCTGTGCCCCTGAAGAAAATAGTGCTTTCTTACTCCAGATCTGTGGTAGAGATTTGTGTGACCCCCGGGATTAGTACCTTGTTTCAGTTCTATATGTACGTACGATTTCGAAGGCATTCGTCGTCTGAAGGAGAATCGGGGGTTTTGTTTTTTTACCGTAACGAAAATCTTGTTTATTTTGACTCCTGGTGAAACAAATGAAACAAAGGATCAAACATGAAGCTCGAGTTTCAATCGAACCGAACTGACCACGATAATAATAATAATAATAATGAGAATAATAATAATAATAATAATGGTAACAATAGAGAAAAGCGGTGCAAAAAGTGCATTTGGAACTTGTCTTGAGTCACATCGGGTCGCTATTGACCTTGACTTATTCCCGGAAGACCCACAGTGTGGGCGACTACTACATTCCCTGAAGCCATGAGTCGCTTGTGTGTGTGTGAGATCGAATCTCCTCAACCGATTGAAACGCACGGCTTCGAATGGTGGTACTTACTTCGGCTATCGGCCCAAGCTACCTCAACGCAATCTATCTGCCGGTGTGTTCCATCATGACCAGTATCATACAGTATTGTCTCAGTCTGTATATACATACATCAATAATCAAGTACGTAAACTTTTCTCAACTTTACACTCCTGGTCATGAAGTTAAAGTGGCAAAATGGAGGCAAACTTTGAACCGGAAAAAGGCGCCATCGACATTTAGGTACTTTGGTTTGATTGGGCGTGAGGTCAGATGCTGCTTGATCATAAACGCCCACCTGGCGTGACTGGTTAGGGAGGAGGTCTGAGGGACTGGCTCAACAGAATAAACAATACAGAACTGGATATGTCACCGACTTTGATACGATGGAAGGGCAAGGAATCCGAATGATGACTTCCATCAATCAAAGCAGAATGCCACTTCCACCACCTTGCCGCCGCCCGGTCAGAAATGCTGTATAAATTTTTCCTAATCCTATAACTCGTCATACAGCGGCTTGGGCTCGCGCCAGGGAAGAAGGCTTAAAAACGCGCTTCTCGGGGGTCTCGCCCGGCCGTTTGTGTTTCCTCCCATCCTCTCTTATATCCACTTCACCACTTGGACTTTTTTCCCTACAGCAGTATCCTTATTGCTCTGACACTCATTTGGTTCTTTAGCTACAATTTACTCACTTTACCTATCATCCTCTAGCTCCATATCATGTTTTCTTCATCTTCATCTCTCTTGCTCGCCAGCATTTCTCTCGTCTCTCTTGTGACCGGTCAAAAGGTCAAGATTGTTTCTCCCGAGTCCGGATGTGCCGTCGTTCCTGGCAGCACTCTCAATCTAACGTTGGAAGTCTGCGGTAAGGTTACCAATCTTGCATAATCCATCAACGCCCTCGTTTCTCATGGTTCACTTTTTATCGTGGCCATCTTCACATTTTACATCATAGGGGACTTGGGCCATCAGGTTGCTCTTGGTTTCGGACTCAACTGCAACGCTACTGACACCAAGTCGCTTGGTAACCTGTTACTTGGAACTCTCGACACCACCACCACCACCTTTGATGCATCAACAAAGCAGCTCACATACCCACTCCAGATCCCTGCTGCTGACAAATTCACCGATGGGGTTAGCGGCTCGTAAGTCAACCGAAGTCTAACCCAGTCAACACTGGCCATTAACAAAGAAAAAGTACTAAAAGTCATCACTTTCCCCCTCAGCTGCTCAATTGTTGTGTCGCAATATTACATCTCTGGGGTGCGTCTTTCTTTGAGCCTTTTCAACATTTATTTTCCGGTATTGATTCCATGGACATTTTTATATGAAATAGCCTGCCAACACCCCCGAATGCAACGTGGTCAGCGTCCCCGCCAAAGTTGATGCTAGCCCAACCGGTCCACCTCCCGGTGCCCCTGGTCAAGGTCCTCTCTCTCCGAGTGGACAGCCCACTAAGACACCTGCGCTTCAGGCTGAACACCCCCCTTCGCCAGAACAACCCGCATCTACAGGTGATACTCCCGCCAACCAGACCTCCCAAGATGTAACTCCCGCTAGTGAGCCGGGCGAAGGATCAGGTAACGCGACCACCGGTGAAACATCTTACCCAAATGGTTCCGACCAAGCCCCTCCTTCCGAGGGTCCCAGCAACGTGACCGGAGCCTCCCCACGCGGTTCTACGAATGCCACTGCTCCTTGCACCAAGGGTAACAATGTCACGATCGGAACCGTTCCTGGCCCCCGGGAGTCTGTCCCTCCGCTTACAGACGGTAGCGGAACTGTTCCCTCGACTACCAATGAAACTGGCCCCGTCGGCGGCAGCTCTAACCCACCGCTCCCAAACGGCGGTAACGAACCTGTCTCTCAGCCCCCTAGCGGCTGTTCCTCTAGCTCGTACCCGTCTACCGCATCTAACGCCCCCAATGATACTTCTGGCGCCTACCCGTCTTCCGGCTCTAACTCCACCGATGGTAATCAAGATATGCCCAATGGATGCCCGCCAGCTGGTAACAACACACCATCCGAAAATGGTCCCAAACCCAATTCCACTATCTTCTCTCCTCCCGCAGGTGAAGGTAACGGGACTGATAACTCGGCTGCTGGTCTCTTGGGTGTTTCGGTCAGTCATTCTAACCTACCTCAGTTTTATAACTATATACATCAGCATCATATTTACCCAAACCTTTCTGTTTCCAAAACATTCTCCATGCGACAAAACTCTACAGACTCAAACTGTTGCACTTTCAGTCGCGCTTGTTCTTGGTAAGCCAGTGTCTCTTTCTTTTAACAAAAATGATTCTTTTCGCTTGTACTCACGATTATTCTTTCTTTTTTTTTAAAAAAAAAAACAGGTTTGAGTACTCTACCTTAGATTTGCTAAGTTATTGGTTTTGAGATATTATGGCGTATATGCGAGAGGGTTATCGTGATGATTTTCTTTAAATTTACCTCTCGTTATTCTCTTTGAACGCATATTGGATCTATGTTTTAATCATAGATTATATTCTATTTTTTTGTTTTCTGTTCTGAACTTTTTATTTATTTATTTCCCTTTTTTTTCGTTGGGCTCAATTGGGTTTTTTTAAATTTTGTTTTTTTTTATTTATTTTTTTCTTCGCCCCCTCCTGAAAAAACTTTTCAAGTTTGCATCGGTTATGTTGTTTTTTGATTTTTTTTTTTTTTTTACAAAAAAGAGAAAACAACAATGACAATTTTACACATGTGTACAAGTGTTCAGGATTTTAAGCCTGAGTTTTCTTTTGTTTTGATGTTGATAGGAGTTTAACCGGTTTTCCTTTTTTTTCTTCAAAGTGTACATCTAGTCTTTGGGGCTTGAGTTTTTTTTTTTTTCGTCTCCTCCAGGTTTTTTTTTTCTCAAGCTTAAGAGATGTACACATCCAACAACATGGCACCTTTTTAACCTTCCTCTATTTTTTTTTTTTTTTGGATATTCTTTTTGTAGTCGTTTTCCCTGTAACTGACAGTCCCATTGAGAACTCTGTCCTCACTCTTGCGCCAATGTGAATACGTCAAGGATTCCTTTCTTTCCTCGCCCTTTTTGAGCCTGAACCTGTATATAGATGACTAGGCTATCCGCAATCAAGTGTCAATTACTGCATATTGCAATTGTAAAAAAAAAAAAAAGAAAAGGAAAAAAAAAACGCAACATTTAATTCCGTCTTCTCAGAAATATTGAAAACCTTTTTGGCATCACTAACAAGGCATTTTCATAATAGTGTTAAAACATCAGGAATCAAGAAATACATGACATGGGTTTTTTTTTATATTTTGAGTGATATCTCCCTGCTGACATCAACATAAAGGGAACCTAATAAATAAATAAATAAAACAAATGAAAAAATAATTTGCGAACTGGGTCTCCTTTTCTATCTTGTAGGAGTCCTTGTTCAATCAAAGGATAAATCAAAAAAAAAAAGAATGATTAGGAAATTCAACTTACTTTTGTATTCAAAAATTGAGGAGTCTTGTGTTATGTTTCCTACAATTTGAAAACTTTCGTTTTACACCACGTTTGTGATTTCAAAAATTTCCTCTTTTTTTTTTTCCAACTCTCGGTGGTCTCTTGTACTTTTTGTTCTCTATCAACGTATCGTTTTAATTATTGATGTATGGTTTAGTGGAACTTGCTTATGTCAGCGAGATGGCGCAGCTGGTAGCGCGCTGGGCTCATACGTGTTCCTATTTGGTTTCATGGTGATCACCCAGAGGTCGTCGGATCGAAACTGACTCTCGCTAATTTTCCTTCTCCTTTATTTGTTTTTTATTTTATTTTTTTTTGGGGGGGAGGGGG